CTTTATCGGCAAAATTCCTATTTAGGAAATCTTTGCCACCATTGTTTGCTTTGGCACACACTTTGTCCCACAATTTCTCAAAATGTCTAGTGGTGAATGAGAGACAACAATCATGAAGAAGGACAGACAATACCTTGTCTCCACATGCTCGGTAAAAGTTAGAAATAAAATGCCTCATGCACCACCTATGGTGCACACGAGGATGTCCTGGAATGTCAATCTCCATTGCATTGAGTATCCCTGGGTGGTGCTTCGAGATGATGCAAACCTCTCTTTCAGGTCCAATTACCTTGGTCCTCACTAGAGTAAGAAACCACTCCCAGTTGTCATTGTTCCCCGTCGACACCAAAGCAAACGCCAACGGAACCAATTTGTCACCACCATCATAGCCACGGCAATCAACAATGTGCCCTTGAACTGGCCGGTCAGAAATGTGCCATCCACGGACATAACCGGCCTACAATGCTTGAAGGCCCTAATGCATGGCTCAAAAGTCTAGAATGCACGTCCAAATATACGAACGTTTGCATCGTTGTATATCCTTGTTCTCATGCCATCTGGCTCCACCATATAGTCCATGCCAGGATTTTCTGCCACCATCGCTTTCAACACCATCGCGAGGCGGTTGTATGATTCTTCCCAACCACCATACAATATCTCAAAGGCAGCTTGCTTGTCCTTCCATGCCTTCCCATACTTCACCTCGTACCCAAAAACCTCCTTCACCATCTCCATCAAAGCCCGAATGGGATATGTCGGGAGTATCTTTATGGAGGCTAAAAATCGATGTGCAATAAATTTGGAGGTCAATTGACGGTGATCATCATTTACATTAGCATCATCAATATCCTTGCCACAACATCGATGGTGAAACATGGAACTTGTAATCTTCCATTGTGGCCCGCCTTTGACACATCTTGCACGGATAACCCAAGGGCAATGATTCTTGTGTTCCTCACATTTGACCACATAACGCACTTTCGAGTTTGACTTCTCCATAATAAATGGCTAATGAAACTTAACCGCGTAGTCCTTGGCCCATATTTAAAGTTCTGTCAGGCTTTCAAAGATTGTTCCTTCACTAACACCATACACACTTGCCTTGGTATCTTGCTTTGAAGTTAACCTTGGTGCAAGAATTTTGCTTGTGCCACCATCAACAATTGCCTTATTCGGTAGGCTTATATCACGAAACAATGATGTCTTGTGACTACGGCCTGTCACCTTCTTGAAAGCATTGGCTTCTTTAGCCGTCAAACCATCCTCATCTATTTCTTCATCTGGGCCTTCATCCTCCGAGTCCTACGCATAGGACCTATTGTATGGAACCTCATAGTACATGTCCTCTTCCATGCAATTTGCCTCAACATCACCAACATAATGGTCATGAAGATAAGCCTCCGATTCATCACCCTCAAACTCACCACCATCCATGTGCAAGTCTTCATTATCAACTTTTGGTCATTCCCACCGGGCCTCAAACATTGGGTCATTGGAGGTTGGCTCATTGTTGTGTCATGCACATCCGGAGTGACATGTGTTGAATCTCGAACCGGGCTTCTAACATCATATGAAGATGCACGCCGATTCAAATCAATGTGCAACCGAGTATGAACAACCTTTGTGGCAAATAACTCAAATGATTTATCTTGTGAGGCCAACACACTCTCTTTATATGCTTCCCAATGAAACTCAGAGTCAAGAGGCATTATCTTCCAACGAATATGTTGCCCATACCCAACATTATACCTTCTGATTAAGTCTACTCCATCGCTTTCTTCCATCCAATTCAACCTTCTTCGAAGCTCAACCAAAACCTCCTCAAGGCTAGGACTTGTGGGAAACACCATCACTACCGGCTTCTTCTTTGGGTCACCATACTCCGCATCTCCCTTCTCAAAGGAGACAAAGTCCACATGATGCACATTGACGATCCTCCCCATCTAGAATCATAAACACCAAAATGCATCAACAAAAATAGCAAAATTGGATGGCCTAGGTTTCCCCAAATCCCCACAATGTGGAGATTTCAACCAACAAAAAGAGGAGGAATGATGGAGAATACCTTGAGGGGTCGAAGGAAAGGATAAATCACCGATTTGGAGCTCCGATCGACGAAATTTTGTGGGCATTAGTAGGGGCTTGAGTGGGGCAGCCGGGGTGGAGAAGGGGAAAAGTGAGGGTTTATGGAGGGGAAAACGGGGGAGACTCTGTTTTGTTGACGCAAGGGGCATGGCGCCCTGAGCAGGGGCGTCATGACCATCAGCACGGCGCCCTGGCCTGAGGCGCCAGGGTGCCATGCCCTGCCAACGTGGCAAGTCACCTCTGACCAGTATGGCGCCCTTGACCAAGGCGTTATGATATCTAACATGGCGCCCCATGTGCGGGCGTCATGCATATAGGGCCATTTTGTGCTGAACTTTGGCCAAAGGGCCAGTTTTGTGATTTTTCACTCCATCATCATCACGGGACGAGCGAATCCAGCATCGGCTTGACATGTGTCAGTGATTCAAAGATATTTGACCCTCTCCCTCCATTTCCTTTTCCTCTTCCGTCATCCCCTTCCCGGGGTGCCTTGTGCTTCACCCTGTGCAAAACCGAACCGAAAACCGCAGACCAAACCAAAAAAACCAAACCAAACCAAAATTTCAGTTTTTTCAGGTTCTGGTTATGGTTTCAGTTTGCAAAATAGCAAACCATATTCCATTTGGTTTTTTCGGTTAATAACCAAAAACCATATGGTTAAACCGAAAAAACCAAAAAAAAAACATAACTTCTCTCATACTGAGAGTACAGAGAAGAAACTCCTACATAGTGTGCTGCACACTTGTGGGATTGAGGACAATGAACGGACACCTGCTAGCCTTATACTACTCACCTTCCTTTATTTCTTGTAGCTACCCGAGGTGGTACTAAACTAGTGCATGAATTGCCTGCGCGCCAGCGCCTCTCGCCGTTGCCGTGTTGTACTTCTACTTAGATGGGCCGATGGATCAACAAGTATTGGGTTGTGATGCTAGAAATTGTGTGCGTGTGAGTTTGTGAGAGCCTACACAGTACACTACACTACACATGGACAAACGTGTGCTACTTTATGTTGGTTAAATATAAAAATAAAATAAAAGAGCAGTTTCACCGTGGAGTACGCTTTGGTATTTGACTTTGAGGCTCTTGGTACAGGACATCGAGGCCATGTATTGTCATGTATGTGTCATATATTGAATAAATTTCATGTATGTGTCATACTGTTGTATACTAAATTTGTTTCTTCATGTGCCCAAACATTGTGTTGCTCAAAAATTCACGTCAAGTTTGGTTAATTTGGTTATTACCGAAACCGAACCAACGGTTATTACCGAAACCGAACCGTATCTATGTATAAAACAATATAAACCGAAGTATAAAAACCATATAAACTAAAAAATCGTATAAACCAAAAACCGTATAAACCGAACCGAATCAAACCGAAAAAACCGAATGCACACCCTGACTTGTGCTGCCTGCCACTCTCGTTTTTGCTCATTTGCTCCTCGGGTATGCAAATCCTCTCCCACTTCTCCATTTCTCGGCAGCCATTTCTTGTGCTGCTCCTCGCTCACAAGCTGCATTCCTTTTCCTTTGCAGGGTCGAGCGAAGGGACCGTGTTCATGTCCCAAGAACCGAAGCGTGCGGCAATGGCGGCCGCGCCCGCTAGAGCTCGCGCGCCGCGGGCCGCCTCTCTCGCCCCGCCCGCCAAGAGGAAGAAGAAGGGCCCGCCAAGTCGTCTCCGAGCCTCGCCGGTCCTTCCGGCCGCGGGCTGGTCCGCGCTCCCGCCCGACCTCGTCCGCCGCGTCGCCGACTGTCTGCTCGCCACCAACGACCTCGACTGCTACATGGACTTCCGCACCGTCTGCTCCGGCTGGCGCGACGCCACCGACAACCCCAAGAGCGACCCCTCCGACCCCCGCTTCCACCCGCGGCGTTGGGTCATCCTGCTCGACGAGGGCTTCCAGCTCCAGAGCGACGCCGACGGCGTTGACGGCGGCGGCGAGCTGCTGCTCCTGCTGAACGCCCCCACGGGGCCCTTCATCCGCAAGAGGCTCCCGCTGCTCCGCCGCTACTACGTCGTGGCCACCACCCTGGGCGGCCTCTTCGTCCTGGCGGACAGGAACCCTCCCCACGCCGCCCGCGTCTTCAATCCGCTCACCGGCGTCCTGGTCCGGTTCGCAGCGCCCGTGCCCACCGAGAAGGAGGTGTCCGCCTTCGTTATAAGTGACAGCTCCGGCATCTGGCCCATGCTCTGCTTGCTCTGCGCCTCATCTCGCAGGCCGTGCATGGCTGGTCCCGACTGTGAAAGTTTCTTCTACGGGATGAGTAAATTGCAAAAAACCACCACAATTGGGGACCTTAATTTAGAAAATAATTATCTTTCGATTTTTTTCAAATAACCACCACCATTCTGCTGACAGTTTTTAAAAAACACTGATAGATTACTAAACACATGTTAACAACGTTTCTGGCAGATGGGGCCCAATATAAGTGATGACATGGCACCGAAATCTCACGGTGTTTGGCCTGTACAGTAAGCTGCACATGGGACCCGCACGTCAGCCTATACACTTCCTCCTCCACCAGCGTTGACAGGGGGAAATAATCACGCCTGCATCCGACCGGCGCACCACCGGATTCAGCCGCCGGCCGGCTCGCGAGCCTCCGCCTCCGTGATCTCCCTCCACCTCATCTATCTATGCTCCTGCACGCGAGCCGCAGCAGCGGCCATGGCCAGGCACGGGGGCGCGAGCAGCCACGCAAGGGCACGAGCAAGTGCAGCGGCCACAGCTATGCACGGGGGCGCGACCAGCAGCAGCACCGGCCGCGCCCGTGCGCGCGAGCAGCAGCACCGGCCACGCGACGGGCCGCGAGCAGCAGCACCGGCCGCGCCCGGGCACGCGACCATCAGCAGCGGCCACGCAAGGCGGCACGAGCTACCACCTGCTACAAAGTACGGGCACGCCGCAGCGATGGCAGGAAGGCGAACTCTGCCCAGCGCCCCGACTACCCCGTGGGCGCCCTGGTCCGGCGCCGAGATCCCTCATGAGGGCCATCTCCTTCCCCCCTATTTCGCCGTTGCCCGCGACCTCCCGAGCACCATGGCCGAGAGCACGAGCTCTTGGTCTGCCCCGCGCCCCGACTACCCCATGGGCGCCCGGTCCGGCGCCGCCTCTCTGCCCGCGGCCGCGCTACCTCGCACTCAGGTCACTCGCAGCCCATTCCTACACTGCCACCGCCGGTGTTGTACTGCTGCCACTGGAGAGCTAGGCGGCCGACGGGATGCCCTCTAGGTGTTTGAGGAAATTACTCAACAGGACCTAACATCCGTCTCCTCACTCTGTTTGGCCTATGCCACGTTGACCTGACAATGGGACCTACCTGACATATTCGTTGTTAAACGGCCCTAATTGATCGATCAGTGTTTTCTGAAAACTGTCAGCACAATTGTGGCGGTTATTTGAAAAAAAATCGAAAAGATGATGGTTTTCTGAATTAGGGTCCCCAATTGTGATGGCTTTTTTGCAATTTACTCTAGGGGGGCACAAGGCCAAGGAGTACCCTAACTACAATTCCGCACGGATGGTGGTCGCAGGTGGTCTCTACACCAACGACGGCACCACGGGATTCATTGCAAAATCAGAAGGCTGGTTCCCCAAGATCTACGATCTGATTCATGTCAATCCTCATAAAGAAGATGTCTGGCGTTTCCTGGTTGAACTTGGTGGGCAGGTGCTCATCCTCGTCAGGCTGCGGGGGCGCGTCAAGGTTTTCAAGTACGACGACGCCGAGCCCGTGCCCGTGGAGAGCATCGGCAGCCATGCCATCTTCGTCGGTCACCACAGGTGCCTCGCCGTGGACGCCGACAGGTTCCCGTCCGTCGAGGCAAACTGCATCTACTACATTGATCGACGGGGTTTGTCAGCCCACATCTGCATGTACAGCCTCAGGGACGAGAAAGAGGAGAGGGTCTCTGCTGGGGCCGTCGATTTCGTGAAGCCGCACAAGCTGTTCGTCCTCGTCGCCGACCGCCCCTTCACCGTCATCCAGCTTCTCTGCAGCTACACCATCAACGCCCGGGATTCTCAGCTGCCGTTGAAAGAAGACGCCGACAACTTTGACAAAAAATCGTTTTAATTTTCTCTCTTGCCTTCTGTTCTGTTAATTTTAGCTAAGAACTTGAGAAGAGGCTGACTCTAGGTTAGATCACCTGTGGTGGATAGAAGGAACTACTCCTTCTGATTCATATTAATTGTCGCTGATTTAGTATGGATCGGAGGGAGTACTATTTTGTGGGCTTAATTAATTAGGACCTGATATGAACCCAATGCTCCATCTACTTATCCTGATGCTATCTCTGTTTGTGTGCACTTGTTCTTCCATTGTTTCACTTTGCAATAGTCTCGTGCTAGCAAAAGTCGGTTCGGCATTTTTCCTGTTTCTGAATTTAGCCTTGCAACTGAAGTATATTATGCGGTTCTCTGCAGGATTTGTTTATTTTTCAGTAGCAAGTGTAGGCTCTGTTTTTTTGCCCCTTTCTGAATCTGGTTCCGCAGTTGAACCATTGAACATTTGTCGGGTAGTTGGTTGCTCTCCGAAGGTTTTGTTTCTTGTTGCATTTCTCCTATCTGATTGCAGCTCAACATTATGTTAAGATGTGCAGTGCATAGGCAAATTTCATGTGATTGCTGCTCCTAGAGGGGTTTTGTAGATTGAAATGTTTTACATGTTTATGCCAGGCATGTGTACTGATTGTATCATAGTATGAATAATGTTGGTTTGTAATAGGGATGGCAACGGGCCAGGATATTCATGGCCAACTAATACCATCATTCATCCTAGATAGGAGTACTATATGAGAGAAAAAATAGTGTGAATTATAATTCATACTATTCATGGCTAACTAATACCGGGTCTTGATTGTATCATTCTCGGTGTACTATGAACTAATGTTGGTTTGATACCAAATTCATCCTAAGTTGCTAGATAGGAGTAGATTCCAACTGTTTGCTGTCCTAGCATGAGTAGTTTCAGACTATTTGTGTATTCTATTTTTCTTGCTGGACATTTTTTCCTTTTATACCCCAAAATGCTCCTAGCATAGGAGCCTATGGTTCCATTCTTGTTACTGCTGGAGGTACACATACCTTTTCTTGGTGTGGTGGAGCGATCTAGACTCGAATTGGGATCCAGATATCACTTGCATATACACATTTGGCCAAATTGCTTCAATTTTGTTTTCTAGAATACGCATAAGCATGTGCATCATCGCATTGAGAAATTGCTCCAACTTTAATCATGTAATTTGAACATTGTCACCGTGCGGTTGCAACTTCACTATTACTCGTGCCGTTCATAGGGTATATAATCATTTTTATGTCTAGTGTCCTAGATAGATTCTTACTGTTTGCCATCTTAGGGCGTGTTCTGGTCTCCTCCAGCTTCAAACTTCACAAACTTCAGAAAAGTTTTGAGCCGAACGCTTTTACACTAAGAAGCTAACTTCTGGAAGCCAAACGAAACCACAGTGCAAAAACTTGGAGCTCCATCGGCCCAGCTCCACCGATTAGAGAATCAGAAGTTCACCCCTATTTACAAGAAGTTGCCACCGCCAAAGAAAACGGTTCGCTGCCCCTCCACGAAATAGCGCTACAGTAGCGATCCCAACAAATCGCTAACCCTCCCTCCCCCTCGTATCGGTGCACTAGGTCCAAGTTGGGCTGCCATCAGCCGGCCCAATCTGTGCCAAACAGGCCCCAACCCTTCAAGTTGGGCTGTAGTAATATGAGAAGCTGGCGATCGAAGCAGAACGATTCTGGATCGCCAGGTGAAGCCAGAAGTCACGGAAAGAAGTTGGATATATGAAGTTTTGTGAAGTTGGAGGAGATCAGAACACACCCTTAGTGTCGGTGTTGCTTGATATCTACTGATAGCATAGCACATATGCCCGTGCGTTGCAACAGGAGAAAAATAGTGTGAATTATATGTGCAAGCAAGACCCGGTATGCACACCGAGAAGGAATATTTAGGTTCTAGTTTCGCTATTACTCGTGCCGTTCATAGGGTATATAATCATTTTATGTCTAGTGCCCTAGATAGATTCTAACTATTGGCCATCCTAGTGTCGGTGTTGCTTGCTATCTATTGATTGCTGGTTTTTCACTTATAGCACATATCCTTGTGCGTTGCAACGAGAGAAAAATAGTGTGAATTATATGTGCAAGCAAGACCCGGTATGCACAGGAGAAGGAACATTTAGGTTCTGGGTTTCGCTGCATGTGAAGTAATCAATCCGATATTTCTCTGTTCATTGATCAAGGGATTAAAGGTTTTTTTAGGGCATCGCACGCCAGAGAAGGCCCGCAAATTATTCAGTCTATATTTCCATCATTCGAATGGATTTTAAGGTATGGAGTTCCATAATATGGAAGTGAGGCGGGTCTTCTCCTTTTCCATGTACAAACCACCGATATAGTACAACCGGAGTTAATTCTACTCTGCTATTTTTTTGTTCATTGATCGAGGGGATTAAAGGTGCGAAGTTTCATAAAATGAGAGTGAATTGGGTCTTCTCTTTTCCATGCATCTAGCTCACATAGTCGGGTCTTCTCTTCTCTGTTCCTTAGGTAGCAATCCTCAAGAAATTTAGGATCCTTTTGTAGCTAGTTCACGTAGAAATTCATCTATCTAGCTCATGTAATGGAGTTAATTCTTTTTCTTTAAAGAAATTCATGGTCTTTTTCCAGGTAGCACACGTACCAATTCATCCATTCTTCATCCCAGCTTAATTCATCCTTCCTTCGTTAAGCTTACTACATTTAGTTTTGCACAAGTATGTAAATTCGTATAACCGTACGTAAAGGAGCAATGTGAGACTATTTAAAATATTTTTGCCTTATTTCCTAGGTAGTTGGGCTGACTAAGTTGCGTGGGCTGTGAAAGGCCCAGGTACCGAACGCCATGTGTTTGTAAGGCGCGAGTAAAATTCCAAAAAAGGCCAACTTAATGGATTGAATCATGTGCTGCCGGCCACTTGGACAAATGCATCTTATCCAATGGCCATTGCAAATATTTAATAACATACTGCAGCATCATATTCGAAACATTTTTTGATTTTTTCTATCTTTTCAAATAATAATAATAATGAATTGCCAAATATTCTTGGAAACATGAACAATTTTAAAACCTCTAACAGTTTTTTGAAAATTCCGTACATTTTTTGAAAAAACAGAAACACAATTTGAAACGGAACATTTATAAAAATTCACAAACATCTTTTGAAAACATGAACTATCTGTAAAAACATGACCATTTTTTAAATTTGTGCATTTTTTTGAAACGGGAATATTTTCAACATTTCAGAACAATTTTAGAAATGTCTATTTTTTTCAACACGCACACTATTTTGAACTGTGGACATTTCACTAAAATAAGAATATTTTCAAATTTTGAGCAATTTCTAAAGGCAATTTTAAATGTTGAACAATTATTTTTAAAAAGCATTTTTTGAAAAACTGGTAACTTTTGTTAAAATTCCGAACATTGTTTTCAAAACACATACAAAGTTTTGGAATTCTTAATATTTTGCCAAAACTAGAAAAGAAAAGAAATTCTGAACCTTGTTGAAATTTTGTGCATTTACGAAAAAATTATAAAAGAAAAATAATATTGAAAAAGAAATAGGAATAAAAAGATAAGTTAAGAAAAAAATTGGAAATAGAACACAGGAAGATAGTAAAACGTGCCGGCCCATTTAGAGGCTCCGACTATTTGTCGCTACATGCGGCAAATTGAGATTTTCCAGTACGCGGGCTGGAAATTAGGTGGGCTGGCTTCGCTGGGCCACTGCATGCGCAGCTCATATACAAAATTCTGGATAAAGTAATTTTCCGGGAGCAAGTAGTTAAGGATCACTTGGGGTGGGATGAGTGCCGCCCTCTCAACAGCTGCCACGTGTCGCACTTTGGTCGTTTTCTTTGGATTTTGTTCTTTTATTTTTTGGCACGCGTTTTTGGTGTTTTAGACGATTTTTTCTGTTTTTTTTGGCTTTTTGGTTTCTCACCGATCTTTCTTAGCTTTTAGAAAAAAAAGTATAAATTTTTTTGTGAGAAAAAACACTTTTTTTTTTGCTTTCGCAAGTGGCACGATTTTGCTTTCGGAAAAAATGTCTTTTCCTTTTTTCGTACTTCCATGAGAGACACGGTTTTGCTTCCGCCAGAAGCATGACTATGCCTCTCAGAAACGAGAAAAAACACATTTTTCATTTTCTTTTGCTTCCGCGAGCGGCACGGTT